TTTTTGAAGAGTTACATGCGAACTCAACAGGAGCCTGTGGTACTGTGCGCCAGAATCGCCTCGGTATGCCATACTTTACTAATACGTTACAAAAGGGTGACAGCGATTACCGGAACACAAACATTTTACTTGTGGTAACATGGTTTGACAAGAGAGAAGTCACCATGCTTTCGACAATACATGAAGCAAAAATGATGAATACTGGAAAAGTTTACTGGAAAACTAATGAAAAAATTCAAAAACCAGCTTCTGTGATAGCATACAATACAAATATGGGCTCTGTTGACAGTGTGCTCAATTCGTTTCATTTATATAAATACAAGACTCGTAACAATATTCGGTTCTATGAATTTCGATTACAATTAATTCGTTAAATCATTGAGATGTATGGAAAGTCAAAAGCACCAAGAGGTCGACCTAGCTCTGGAGAAAATCCTAATAGACTTATTAGTCGCCATGTTCTGCCACTTATACCGTCAACAACCGGAAGACAAAAAAATCAAGGAAACAATGCGTGGCCTGCGCAAATGTAACAAGAAGAGCTAAAAAGAGAGCTGTTTCCAGATACGAAGGCACTGAATGTAACGTCGGACTTTGTATTTCTGGTTGTTTTCGCGATTATCATATGTTGAAATACTTCTAAATGTTTATTCTTTATATTTTTGTGAATAAATGCATTGTTCTGTATTTCAAAAAAATTTATTTATTTTTGCTACAGTAATCCCGTCCCCAAAGGATTAAAAATTTTCTTTAGTATACACGGTAACATTGTGACACTTTGCCAAAGATATTAAATCATTTTCAGTTAAAGTATTTTCGTTAATCTCCTTCCATAATCGTCCTATTCTTCCACGATTTGATTTATTTTTAAATATTTCGGACAAGATTTAGGTATACAACGGCAATAAAGAATTAAAAGAAGCTTTTGTAAAAAACACTTCTTCACCATTCTTTCGTAAACACACATCGTGTCACCGGATTACTCATTTTTTCTATCCTGTTCATCCATTGTATCCATTATATACGCTCGTCTATATCATCACATGTGCACATAAAGAGTGGTTTATAAGTTTCGACTCGATTTCTAGTTTCTTTATATCTTGACCGTATTCAAAGGTGGACGGATATTGAATATATGTATCAGAAGAGTAACACATAAGGCCTATTCCATGGAGTTTCTCCCACGAAAACACAAGGATCCTTGAAATTGCGCGAATATACCTTTATCTTGTAGAACTTGATGAGTTATTATTATGGTAAAAAAATTAGCTTAGACAAATGTTCATTTAGAGGGAGATATCAGTCACAAGTTTAGCTGAAAACACGAGAAAATTAAAAATTACGAAAAATTCACAAAAATCATGAAATTTTGTGGTCTTGACTTTTTCAATATTACATCAACAGAAATTAATTTCAATTATATATTCTTATTCTGCAAGACCTGACGCATTTGCCTATATATCAATTGTTGAGGGTGTGAGTGTGGTGGTGTGGATGTGAGTGTCGATGACAAGATAATCCACACCCACACTCTCCCACACCCATCTTCAATTATGTTTGCTGAAGTGATGGTTGATAAGCTTTAATAAGTTCAATTTTAAATGTGGGCCAATCAATAATAGTAGACTTGTTATATTTGAACCATTTTGCAGCAGAATCAATTAAATATGATAGTACAGCTAAATATTTATTTGATGGTTGAAATTGAGCTCGATTAAATACTTCTTCAACATCTGATAACCATTTCACAACATCTTTATGACGGACAGCACCAAATTCAGAAAGACTTTTAATATGTTCTTTAGCTAAAGTGTGCAAAATGTGTTCTTCCATGAAAGATGAAAATATAGGACGATAAACAATAGGATTAACAGAGACTTCAAAATGATAAGGGGTATCGATATCAATAGCAGATAAACGTTAGATTTCTTGTTGAAATAATTTTTGATGATGAGAACGAGTTATAACCATAAACAAGATAATGATCGATTAAATTATGAAATAAATATAATGAAGACCGGATAAATTAGCAAACAAATACAACAATGACGAAATAAATCAGGAAATCAATATAATAATAATCAAATAAAATTCTAATGAATATGATAATGTGAACGGGTTACCACCGTCAACAGGGTAATGTCAATAATAAATGAAATACATAATAGAATATCACGAGGATCATGTATGTTTTAAAATAAAGAACAACATAATGATCAGGACGATAGCATTAATATAGATACAAATAAGAAATCGAGAATCACAAACATAAGGATCAAAGTTAATCCTTGGTAAGCCATAAAATAAGTCGAATAAGATGGAGACAAGAAAAAAAATGACTGGAGTAGAGGGGAAAAAATCTTATCGTGTTCGATGAATTGTGGTCGATATGGATCACGGCCCCAATTGCTAGTCTGTTGTGACTAACTAAAGCTCTTCTCTTTTATTTCACTATCTTCTTGTTCACAATAACTTAATATCAACACAACTGCAACTCATTACATCACATAACATCAAAAACATAGAGGACGATATATTAGTCGATATATAGAGAGAAGAGAAAAGAGAGGTAGTGGATAGCAGATAGTGATACTACCTAACAAAATCCCGTTCGATAGTTGTTCGTAGGACTTTTGAAATCTTCTTTTTATCTAACTTTTCTGTAGAAACTGACCCACAATCTCCAAAACTCGATCAGCCGTTTCCTTCACTGTCATGTTCGTATTATCCAACCTGACCTCATTCCTATACAATTCTCTCGTTTTCAAAACTCCATTCCATTCAATGGCACGTTCGAAATTACGAAATCCACTATCTCGTGTCGGTTCCAGAACGCGTTGTTTCAAAATATCATCGTCACTAACAGTCAAAGTCACAATTAGATATTTGAATTCGTCGTACGATAAATAGTTTGGTAATTGCTGTATTTTCGCATCTGTCAGATCATTAATTAGGACGTTCTTATATCCATAGCGATAGTAATTCTTTAGAATGAACACTAAGTTCTCAAACGACATTTGTTCTTCTCCAGCTGAGACATTTGACCATTCTCGATCTAAGTGAAACACACGGAGACAACCAAAGTCAATTGAAGGCCATGATTTATTCTGCTGAATGAGTGTACAAACAGAAGATTTGCCAGCACCAGGAGCACCGTTAATGAAAATAAAGTCGACCATGATCTGAGGAAAAAATTTCTCTGCGAGATTGCGTAATTTGAAGAAGAAATACTGCGCCTTTTACATCCAATGAAGTCAGAGTATTGCGACAGTTGGAAACCTCACTTTTGCAGACTGTTTAAGTGATCAATGTATTTCTGTGTGCGTAGATCAACCTTCATACCCTCATAACTGAGATACAAGAAAAAAAAGAATACATGAAAGAGAAGAGAAAAAGATAAGAACTGAAAAGAAACTTTTCACAGGTGAAGTAAGATAGGAGTCAAAACAAGTGAAAGTTGAGTTACATACTTTTAACGAAAGAAATATATATGACACCCACTATTGTTATTTTCATCGTTTGCCTTCTGTGCTTTACATCACTCGGTCTTTTTGCATTTTGGCATGCCATATACTTTTGTATTTATGTTCGAGTAGACTGTTAAGTGAAGAACAGAATAACCATCTTCTTTATAGACGGATCTAAATTCTTCTTACGTTAGAGTATGAATGGTTACTTCTCTTGGTAAAAAGCCCGAAGACAATACAACTGAGGGTGAGGGTGAGGGTGTGAGTTTTAGTAGTGAAAACCTAGGTTCGTCTCAGCGGTGAGAAATCATGATCAAGAAACCAATCACAGTGAATATGTATAAGAGAAGCGAGTGAAGAAAAAAGCACACGTCTTGAGAATAAACTTGTAGGTTACTCATAGGATGATGAAGAGGATGTGTGTGGGTGATGGTGTGGGTGTGGGTGTGGATCGGTGGGTGTGAGTCGGCGGATGTGGGAAGGTGTGGATCGGTGTGTGTGGTTATCTAGGTGTGGAAATGGATGCGTTGTCTTTTCGCCCACACCCACACCGCATACCCACAATCCACACCCACACCCGTTTTGTGCTGATATAAAAATACAACTGTTTCCGACCTCCTATTTCATTTTTTTTAAACAAAGTTCTTTCAGATATTTCCATACTTCTGGTTTTGTGTGTGGCACCTATATTCGTGTCATTACAATAATATTCAATTTCATATCATATGGCTTACAAATCATCAATTCTAAGCATGAAAGAAAAACCATCTGTAAGTGCAAACGACGGTGAAAATAAAGAAAGTATAACACTCATTTGGTTTGATCCAAATATTGGTTCACGTGAAAATACAGAAATCACAAAACAGCAGCTTCATTCGATTAATGATTATGTTATTTTTCATATCGATCTTGAACGGTGTATTAAATTTATTCAAACCACTAATAAAGAAAAGATCTTTTTAATTACATCAGGATCAAAAGCATCACAAATTTTACCTCGAATTTGTTCTTTTCATCAAATCGATTCCATTTTTATCTTTTGTATGAAAAAAGAAAGATATGAATATTTATTAAATGAATATTGCAATATAATTGGTATTTATATTAATCTTGATGATTTATGTAAATCAATTAAAGAACAAACTGATCTTGTTAATAAGCAAATACAAACATTTTCTTTTTTTGATCAACATGAAAAATCGATCAAAGATTTATCCAAAGAATCCGCACAGTTTCTTTGGTTTCAAGTATTCAATTATGTTATTTTTCGTCTCCCCCGAGATCAACAAGCAAAAGAACAAATGATTCAAATGTGTAAAGAATATTATCGTGGAAATACAAAAGAAATGAAATTAATTCAAGAGTTTGAACAAAATTATAGAGCAGAAGATGCAATTCGTTGGTATTCAAAACAATCATTTGTTTATAAATTAATTAATAAAGCATTAAGAACAGAAGATGTTGATCTATTATATAAATTTCGTTTTTTTATTGGTGATCTTTCTGGAAGTCTTCAATGCCAACATGAAAAGATCGTAAAATCAGAAGAAAAAATTTTGAATGTTTATCGAGGAGTGATACTGGACAGAGAAGAATTTGATAAATTAAAAGAAAATCAAGAAAAGCTTATTTCAACAAATGGATATTTATCAACTAGTCGAGACAGATCATTAGCATTAAGTTTTGCATTAAAACCAACAAAAAGAATTGATGTTATTTCTGCTCTTTTCCATATCCGATGTCATATTAAACAAATTGATAAAAATATTATTTTTGCTGACATTAATGAA